CTCTCTCAGCAGGGAGGAGGTAGTGATCCTGGTGGTCAGGGGTGGTCCTGCACTGGGGACACAAGAGTTCAGAGTCCTCCTCACAGAACATGTCCAAGACTTCCTGGTGCTTCTCACATAGTTTCCGTTCCTGCCGTTTCCTTTTAGTCCCTCTGATGGGGAGCTGATTAACGATGTCAGTGATGTGACACAATTGGTTGTTTCTCTTCAAGTTCCTGTCAGGGCAGTGGTGGAGGCAGACAGGACAGGGGAAGATGTCCTGTAGGTCAACCCAGCGCTGTTGAATGCAGGAGACACAGAAGTTGTGGCCACAGGCTAGAGTCACTGGGTCTCTCAGGTAATCTAGACAGAGAGGGCACCTGGCTTCTGATTGGCGTTTGGCCAGGGAAGTGGAAAAAGCCATTCTTGGAAGAAGGATGTCTGGAGATAAGTCTTTTAAAATATAAGTATTCTAAAGATAGATCTTTTAGAATTTTTTTTTCTTTTCTTTTTGACTTTTTCTTTTTGTTTGTTTTGGGCCACACCCGGCAATGCTCAGGGGTTACTTTTGGCTCTGCACTCAGGAATTACTCCTGGCAGTGCTGGGGGACCACATAGGATGCTGGGGGTCGGCTGTATGCAAGGCAAATGCTCTGTCCACTGTACTATCACTCGGGCCCTGGAATATAAGTCTTTTGAAGATAAGTCTTTCAGAATATAGTTTAGTCCTCCAGTAACCAGGCTGTAAGAAGAAAATATATGCTCATTACTCTCTTTCCTTAAGGAATCTGAACACTCTTTCCACTTTTCTAGCAAGCTCTGACAAATACTCATTTGCATTTACAAAAATGCATTTATTCTGACAGAAAAAGTAATATAAGGCAATGTAGCGTTGAGTGTCTAATTGTTACAAGCCTTCCTTTTAATAATTATATTATGATTTATTGACATTAAAACAGGTTCTATCCAATAATTATCAAAAAAATTAGAATTTACATATGAACTAATATGTGGTCTGAGTTTTGCTTGAAAAGGCTGAGAAAAAGAAAGCTGCAGTTACATTTTTATTGGAGGATTTCTTATGGTTATCATAATAGTTTTGTTTCATCTGCCTAATATGCTGTCTAGTAATATATTAGAGCTCACCATTATTGTGTTGCCCCTCTTCTAACCAAATCAAATTTTATCTTACTCTTTTCTGTCTTTTCCCCACATTTCAAATATCTGAGATTTCTTATCTTTTTCTTCCCTACATTTCAAATACCTGAGATATCAAAATTTCTGAGTCTACAATGTTACTTCAGGGATTACTCCAAACATCCCTAACCTCTTATCATTCTTTTCACTCTACGTTCTTTCCACTCATGGTTCCTGCTTCTCAGACCCCATATGAAACTTCAAATGAAGAGGAATTCATTTTGGTTAGGACCATGGGGTGACAGTCAGGGCTGGACCTCTCTCTTACACATCACTGACTGCGTTCTCCCCAGAACTGGCCTGCATTCACCAATCTCTAAGATCAAAGATGCTTTTTAAAAGCATTCCATGAACACTTCTGAGCTAACTCCCATTTCTTGTGAGTCATATGGAAAGGATATTTTTTTTTCCACTTTCAATCCCTTTTTGGCTGGTTCCTGACCTGTGACAACTTAACATTACTTTCAGTCTCTTCTGACCAGATTATCACCCCCACCCGCACCCCCCCAACCTTATTGTACAAGACCCATCTATGAATCCATACAGACCATCTCCCATAACTATATTCCCTTGATCAATCCACTTCCAAGGTGATCACATCTTCCTGCTTACCTTGAATAGTTCAAGGATCAATGCTCTGCGATTCTTCAGGGCTGGTCTCTGATAGATCTCTTTGAAGACAGTAGGACACCAGGCTGGTAGCATTTTGTGCTCTTTTGTTGTGAGCAGGGCATTTATAGGCCACTAAGTGGGTCTAGGACATTGTTGGCACCCTTTAAGTTGTGGCGGCTCCACCTCCAGGAAGGAGAGCAGAACCAACTGGAGCTAAAAGGATATTCTGAGTTTCTGATTAGTGGTGAGGCACAGAAGAATCTCTCAGGATTAAATCAGTACAGGGTGTCCGTGTGCTGTGCTAAAATGCACGTTCTCGTTTGCACTGAATTACATTGCTAAGGAAGAAAGTGAAATCTGAAAGTCTATGTCAGGATGTTCATTTTGCCCCCATTGAATTATTAATTGGACACAACTTTTACCTGTCTTCATAATCAGCAGTTTCCTGTTGCCTCGAGGTCTTTGAAAAATTGCTTTTCATCTAATAGGTAAAAGTTATCATCTATATCACCTATATCACCTATCACCTATTATCATCTAATAGGTAAAAGTTGAGGGTTGGAGCGATAGCACAGCGGTAGGGCATTTGCCTTGCACGCAGCCAACATGGCCGACCCGAGTTTGATTCCTCCCCCCTCTCGGAGAGCCCGGCAAGCTACCGAGAGTATCTCGCTCGCGGGGCAGAGCCTGGCAAGCTCCTCGTGATGTATTCGATATGCCAAACATAGTAACAACAAAGTCTCCAATGGAGACATTACTGGGCCCGCTTGAGCAAATCGAAGATCAACGGGAGGGCCTTTACTTTACTTACTTAGGTAAAAGTTATTAGTTGATTTAAAAATAATCTCACCAAGGGCTGAGGAAATAGTATAAGGGGTAGGGAGCTTACTTTGCACACTGCCACCCATGTTTTGATCCTGGAATCCCATATGGTTGCCGAAGCACTACCAGGAGTAATTCATGAGTGCAGAGACAGGATTAAACTCTGAACATCGCTGGCTGTGGTTCCAAAACCAGAATAAATAAATTAATAAATAAAACATCCTCATCTGCTATACTAAAAATCCTGATTTTCTAGTCTTTACATCTTTGATAGCCTTTTTGCTGAAAAGCAAATTTAGAAATCTCTGGAAGACTTTTTGAGTTCTCTCTTTTATAAAGTTTAAGAAATGAATCCAACGGCAAGACCAGGAATCAGTTTGAATTTTTGGGAGGCCACACCCAGCACAGCTTAGGTGTTACTCCTGGCTCTGGGCTCAGGAATCACTTCTGGAGAAGCCTTGGGATCCGTGTTCAAGACAAGTGCGGTGGAACACTGCACTGTATCACCAGCCCCTCAGTTTTAATTTCTATGTCAGCAAGAGTTCCTTGGCCCTTTTTTGCCTAACATTTCTCTCTGCTTCCGCCTATTCAGCTTCCGCATGGTGGCTCCATTGTTTCATAAGAAAATGCTGTGTCAGCTTCTGCACACAGTAACACAGCAGAGAATTAAAATTTATACTTTGAATCTTGGCCTGGAGTGATACCATAGCGGGTAGGGCGTTTGCCTTGCAGGCAGCCAACATCACTGACCTGAGTTCGATTCCTCTGTCTCTCTCGAAGAGCCCGGCAAGCAACCGAGAGTATCTCGCTCGCATGGCAATGCCTGGCAAGCTCCTCGTGATGTATTCGATATGCCATACACAGGAACAAGTCTCACAATGGAGAGGTTACTGGGCCCACTGAGCAAATCGATGAACAAAAGGAGAACAGTGACAGTGATATTGTACTCAGGAGGATGTTAGTACAAACATGAATGTTAAAGGTACCTATAGTGTGGGCTCCTGCCCCTGCGCCTGGCTGTTCCTCGCCGGGGTCCCTTGGAGGGGAGCGGGTTGAGCTTTCCTCCCCGCCCCGACAAGGCTCCGGCAGCCGAAGACCTCCAGGACCAGCCACCACCATGCTGAGACCACTCTCCGCACACATGAAGGTACTGGCAGAGGGACAAAGCCACGCGGGTTCCGGGGCCGAGATCTCTAAGCCTACTCGGATTGGAGTTGAGCATCTTCCACCAAGATCCTCCAAATTCCAGTAGGCGGGGGTCACACCCACCACCTGGCCCCCTGGCGCCGTGTAATCCCATCAACGGCCAAGACTCAGAGACTATAAAATCCAGCTCCCGGAACCGCGCAGCCGCATTTGCGGCCATGCAACATCTCATCAGGACATCTTTTTATGACATCTTATTATCTCATTCCTACTTTGGACAAACTTGCAAGCTATCGAATGTAGCCTGCCCACAGGGCAGAGTCTGGCAAACTCCCCGTGGCGTACCAAATATGCCAAATACCAGTAACAATGATGGGTCTCGTTCTCCTAAAGAGCCTTGAATATAATCTCAGGGCTAGGATGAAAGAGATGTTACTGGGGCCTGCTCGAGGCAATCGACGAATAACAGGATGATGAATGAATGAATAGTGTGTGCTCAGAAGGAGATGAGGAATATACTATTTGAAACTAATTTGGTCCCCTGAGTGATCCTTGCTTAGGCATGAAGTTGGAAGTCAGCCCTAACCTGGGTGTGAAAAAACAAAACAAAAATAAACAGAAAATATAATGGAAAGAAAAAAAAGTTTTCTAACTAACCTCAGTATATGCATGTATATGCTATATGAATAAAATGAAATTAGATATAAAACCCTCAAAACATACAAAATAGGCAATCACAATTCTACTACACAGAATTAAGGATAGGGTGTACTGTCTATCCAGATTTTTTGTCTATGTGGAAATGTCTGCCACTAGTGAAATATCATACTTACATATTCTTCCAAAAATTGGAAATCTTTTATCATTCTTCCTTTCATAAAAGTAATGTTTTTGATGTTATTAAAATTAGTGAACATTGATTCTATAACATCAAAATTGGTGAAAGACAAGTCTTCCAACCTCACAGATAATGTGTTATATAATAACAATTATGAAGTTTTGCAATGCTTTCAAAATACTTTACTGTTGCACAGAAGACCTGAAATATCTATTACATTTTAAATTTTTTTGTTTTATTTACAACAAATAAGGGTACAGTTATTTCTATATACGACTTATTACAAAAGAGAACGTTTCTCCTTCATTGCCCCTAAATATGAATATCTATGCAACCGTTTCATCATGTTAACATCAACAGTTTTTCACTTAGAGTGGGAAAATAAACCCACGGGATAATCCTCCCTTTAAACCCTCCCTACGCTCACGGACAGAGGGGCGCTGTCGCGCCCCACACGGAAGTACGGCTTGAGCTCCTGAGCAAAGGGCTCCGTGAACGAGTGCAGATGAGACCTGTCATCAGCGTTGTAGAAGGAAAGCTGGCCCAGCTCCCAGTCCAGGTAAACGCCGATGGACTTGGGCTGGTCCCTGAGAGCCAGAGGCACGGCCCACGCGCTCACGGCCAGGTAGTCGCCGTCCTGCAGGTGCAGCGTCCAGCATCTCTTGGGAGCCACCAGGGGATGCGAGGCCCCGGCCGAAGGGGCGACGCTGCACACACCCACGGCCCACTCGGGCTTGGCGCCCACCTGCACCTCCCAGTAGTGGCGGCCAGAGGTGAAGCCCTCCCGGCCAAGGACCACCAACGGTGCAGTGTAGTCCCAGGGCCCGGAATCCCCATCCCCTTTGGGCCTCTCCCTCACGTATGTCACTGAGTGGAGGTCCTGGGACACGCACAGGCTGGGGTGGGCCGTGTCTGGGTCCAGGCTGATGCTCTCTCGGAATCTCCGGATGATGCTGCTGAGCGCTGAGCACAGAGGAGGGAGGCTGTAGGCCACCGGCCTGAAACGCAGGGGCTGCACGGCTGGGAGCTGCAGGCCTGCCCAGCGCTGCTGCAGTCCCCTCACGCCCCTCAGCACCATCTCCTTGGACATCACACTCCGCTCGGCCACCTCCCTTCTGAGGTCTTTCAGCATTGAGATATGGTCTGAGTAAAGAGCGACGTTGGCCCTGAACTGCTGCTGCAGGCGTTTGTCCTCTTCGGCCAGCCTGCAGAGGGCCGCCTCTTGCTCACGCTCCACAAACTGAGTGACTTGCTCAAATTCCGAGGCCAACTGACTGTTATGCATTCTTACCTCCTCTCTCAGCTGCAGGAGCTTTCTCTCTTGGATAGCTAAGAGCTTCTCCACCTTTGCCAGCTGTGTCTTCAGGGACTCGATGAAGCCGCCGAGCCTCTGTCTGTACTGATGTGCAACCTCCTCCAGGGGCCTGACATGGTGGCCCTGGTGGACAGGGCCCTGGGCGCACAGGGGACACACCGGCTCCTGGTCTTCCTCGCAGAAGAGGCTCACTCCCTGCCTGTGCTCCTCACACCTGCGCTCCTCTGCCCGCACCATATTGCTACTCCCAGAGCTATGTAGGAGCTTGACCAGGTCCACCAGCCTGCCCAGCTGGGCGTTGCCACTGACGCGAATCTCCTGAACGGTCCGCCGGCACACAGGACAAGGGAATCTGTCCTGCAGGTCCTTCCATGACGTGCGGATGCAGGAGTCGCAGAAGTTGTGGCTGCAGTCGATGGTGATGGGGTTATTGAGGTAGTCCAGGCAGACGGGACAGATGAGCTCTGGCTGCATTTTGGCCAGGACTGCCGACACCTCCTCCATCCTCGGGTGTGGGAAAGGCAGGTAAAGGTCAACGGGTAATCCTTATAGAAAGGGGCTCCTTGGATTCTCTCCTATCAGAAAAGAGTCACATAGTTAGACCTATGTCCTGGACTATGTTTTTCTCTCAATGAGGGGTGCCCTCTGATGACCCTGCACATCTCTGGTCTCAGGGTTGGGTTCTCAAATAATATTCACATTCCTTGAGCAATTGATCCTGCTTGGATAGGGGCTGAGCATCCTCCACCAAGACCCTCCAAATTCCAGTAGGCTGGGGTCACACCCACCAACTGGCCCCCTGGCGTCGTGTAATCCCATCAATGGCAAAGACTCAGAGACTATAAAACCCAGCTCCTGGAAGTGTGAGCCCTCATTTGCAGCCATGTGACATATTATTATCTCATTCCTACTTTGGACAAACTGGCAGGCTACCGAATGTAACCTGCCCACAGGGCAGAGTCTGGCAATCTCCCCATGGCGTACCCAATATGCCAAATACCAGTAACAATGATGGGTCTCATTCTCCTAACCCTGAAAGAGCCTTGAATATGGCACTTTTTAAAAAAATCTCAGGGCTAGGATGAAGGAGACGTTACTTGGGCCTGCTCAAGCAATCGACGAACAACAGGATGGTCGTGATCATCCTGATGGTGAGCAATCGAGTGTAGATGGTCGGGGGGGTCTGAAGAGAAGTCAATCTCAGTATCTCTCTGGACCCAAAATCTGTCAGTACTGTGTAGTGCTAATAAGTTCTGCTGGGGATGAGCGGATGAGGTCATTCCTAATGCTTCCTAAGAAGGGATGGGATCATTCCATTCCAGAGCCAGCTTCCTCCCATTCTAATGAGCCTCTGATTATCCTCTTTGACTCCTTTCTCCCAGACCACCTCCAGTGTCACCAGCCTTGAAGAGACTCATGGACTAGAGCTTCTGGAGAATTCTGCCTCCATAATGTGGAGTGGGAAACTCCAGCTACATCAGAGTGATGAAAACTAACATCTGGAACTTAGTTTAAGGTACATTAATATCAGATCATCTGTGAGGTGCCCTCTAGACTCTGCGCACCATAAAGAAGCCATAGAAATTAAGCTTTAGCCCCAAATAACTGCAAATCCCCTCATTGATTTCTACTCACAGCGAGGGGGACCTCGTCTGGCAGTCTTAGATGATGGGTTGAGCTGACTCTCCTTGCAGGGCTGTGGAGGTCACACACTGTGTGCTCTTGACAGCGACCACAGCGTTTATATACTGTTCACTGGGTGGGTCTCTCTTCTTTAGAGACCCACCCAGGACTTCTTTAGAGACCCACCCAGGAAAGATGGATAGGGAGGGAGGGAGAAAGTGGGGGGCGGGACTTTTGGTGGATTTTCAGAGCTTTGATTGGACTGGGATACACTTTCCTAATAAATGGATCAAGGTGAGTTGTGGGATCTTTGTTAATATGCATAATCTAATTTCAGTCTGTAAATTCTTCCCTAAATCTTTCTTAATCCTCCTAATTTTGTCCTTATTGAGGAAGAAACGGGGTGAGTCATGGGATCACAATAAAATAGAACAGAAAGAAAGGGACATACTAAACTTAGACCTAAGCTGAATGGTCATTCTCTCTCCAGGGATGGGAACCTAGGTATATCATTTTCTCCTTAGATTCTGCAGTGACATCATTTTTTCTCTAACATGTTAAAATTGTTCCCAACTGTCAGCTAATGTATGTGCTTTTTCAAAAATAGCACTGATTCGTCTCCACAGCTCAGTGGTGATGCCACCATTTTTTGGTTTGTCTTTCTCACCACATCTGGCAGTGCTCAAGACTTAGCTCCTGATTCTATGCTCAGGGATCATTCCTAGTGGACCCTGGGGACCATATGAGGTGTTCAGAATTGAAACTGGATCAGCCGCGTGCAAGGCAAGTGACCAACCCGCTTCAACCTTAGCCCTTCTCAGAGTCTGTCATACTTCCTGGACATTATTTTTTTCTTTAACGTATAAAAGTTACCTCCTGAGAGATCAAAGTTCAAATGCTTGTCTTGAATCCTGCTGACCCTGGTTTTATTGCCCAGAACCACTTACGGTTCTTCAAATTGCAGCTAGGGGTCACTCCTGAGTACAACGGAATAACCTCTGAGCATAGCAGAATAAGGTCCAAAACCACTTCCCCTAATTATCTCCTGTTTGGTATCCAAAAAATGATTGGATTATTAATAATTAATAAAAATTAATAATTATTAATATTAATACACTAATGATTATTCTTCACTCGTCTGTAATGATACCACCACATATCTAACTAATTCAATATGCAGACTTTCCTGGAATCATCTCATAATTCCCATTCCAAAGCCCCAGCCAGTTCACTCATGGCAAATTTTGTGTTTATTACTATGAAATGATGTTACTGCTTTCCCATAATCCTTGCCTGGGATAATCCTCCAAGCTAGAGAGTGCACTATTTGGATCTGTACTGCTTGCATGAAACAACCACTCACAGTTAATATGTATGGTACCACAAGGTTGAACTCATGCCCTACCGAGGTCACGAGTTGCCCCCCACAAGCAGCTCTCCGGCACGGCTATGTCTCCTGAAGCACAAAGATTTAGTGCAGAGCCTGGCAGCTTGCGGCAGAAAAGTGAACGGACTATGAGTTAATCCACGGTACCATGCCTGCCCAGGAGGGAAGGGATGTCATTCCCTTTCACCTTTTTTCCCCATGGGCAGCAAGACGTTGGCCTCCTTGGAGCTTCTTGGAAAGTCAGGTATAAGCCGGCAGTGATGGGGCAACTGAAACCTCATGGGAAGGGGGACGTTCCTGGCTCGTCCTTCATGCCCTACTGAGGTCACGAGTTGCCCCCTACGGGCGGCTCTCTGGCACAGCCATGGCCACAGAGCCACAGTAACCAATCTCGTAATTATCTGGCTCTTGGAAGAAATACCTCCAGGCTTAATAAGTAAAATATCATGGCCACGCAACATCATATGGTTCTCATAACTAACTGTAGAAAATAAATTATTTCACAATATCTTTTCAGCAGTTCTGATTGTTGGGTGTAAACTCTAAACAATAATATTGCTCTTTTGTCAAAATAATGAATGTTAATCAAAATAGATAGAGTGTTAAGTAGAATTCATCTGCCTCACAGGCGTTGGGAGGGGAGTATATTGGGGTACTTGGTGGTGAAATATAAATACTGGTGAAGGGAAAGGTGTTTGCTCATTGCATGACTGAGACTTAAACCTGAAAACTTTGTAACTTTTCCCACAGTGATTCAATAAAATTTTTTAAAAAGTTGAACTTCTGAAGGATTTGTGTTACTAAAATAACTAGGTAATGTATTTTGTATGCCTCAGAACTGTCTAAAGTGAAGGTAGTCTGTATTTCTAGTTTAAATAGATTTCAACCCCACCCCTAGCTTTGGTCATGTCACTCTGATCATTTAAGGAGTTCTTGGATCCACAAAAGTCTTTCCCACTTGATGTTGGTGATATTTTTATCTTTTACTTTATAGTAGTTGGTATTGTGGGTTTTGGTTTTTGGTTTTATTTCTTTTTATTGTTGCTGTTTTGGTCACCCTGTGATAATCAGGGGTTAATTTTCCCTGGCTATGAGCTCAGGAATTACTCCTAGCAGTGCTAGGATGAAATATGAGATGCCAGATAATTAAGCATCAGTCTTGAGCATACAAGGCAAGCACCCTACCTGCTGTACTATCTCTCAAGCCCCAATTAAGAGATTTTTTTCTCTAAGTTTAGTGTGTTAGATGTTACCCTCAGGGACATTTTTCTTCTTAATTTTTTTTTTGTCAAATAGATTTCTTAATTTTTTTACAGAGCTTTTGTTTTTTGGTTGTTGCCACATCCAGGCATCACTCCTAGTATGCCTCTAGGGATCATATGGGCTGCTGAACATTGAACTCAGGTTGGCTATATACAAGGCAAGCAACCTCTGCACTGTACTATCAACTCAGCACCTTATTCATAGAGCTTTACAACTCTTCTAGATGAAGAATATTTTAAGACTCATTTTACTTAAAAAGAGATGCCTCATATATGAAGGAAATATTGAGAAACTGCTGGAGCGATAGCACCACGGGTTGCCTTGCACACAGCTGACAGGGCTGACCTGGGTTTGATTCCTCTGCCCCTCTTGGAGAGCTCTTGGAGAGCCCCACAAGCTACTGAGAGTATCTTGCCTGCACGGCAAAGCCTGGCAAGCTCCCCATGACGTATTTACTATGCCAAAAACAGTAAGAACAAGTCTCACAATTTGTTGTGAGATGTTACTGGTGTCCGCTCGAGCAAATCGATGAACAAGGGAAAGACAATGCTACAGTGCTATTAAATTGAGGCAAAATTTTCATTAGTTTCCTTGTTAAACTAATAGTATTCATTAGTGTTCATGATTCATGTAAATTTCACTGATAACCAACTGGATTCAAGAATTGTGATTATAGTAGCATGTGTTATAAATTTTTTTTATCATTTTTTTATTTGGGGGACAAAACACAGGTGTGTTCAGGGCTTACTCTTTGTTCTGCACAAAGGGATCATTCCTGGCAGAGATTAGGGGACCATAATGTGGTGCTGGGTGGTTGGGGATCAAACCCAGCTTGCCCACACACAACTCAAGTGACCTACCCGCAGTACCATGACTCCAGCAATTATAGTTCATACCTTTTTGAGGAGGAGGCACACCCAGTAGTGCTCGAGGTAACTTCTGTCAGTGCTCTTGGGACTATATGGAATGCTGGAATCAAACTCAAATCAGCTGCATGCAAGGCAAGCATTCTACCCACTGTACTAATTTTCTAGTGTATTTCTAAAGCCTTACATTAAATGTATTTCCAAACCACTTAAGCTAAGTGGAGCCTTGCAAGTAGTCTCAGAAAATAAAATCATATAAAATGTTTGTTGCTCCCTGGCATTGACTCTGGAGTTTCAGTGAAACATCTGCATACCCTGTCTCCTTGCAGTTACCTGTTGAATGATGTCACATGGCTGATGAAGTT